TCTCTGCCAGATTTAAAAAGGGCTGTCCATTTTTTCACAGTGGTGTACGAAGGAGCAGACTCTCCTAAAACTTCATCCATGTCAGCTTTGATTTGAGATGGGGTCAACCCTTTTTTCGTCAGGTATTTTATGACCGCACGAGTCTCCGTCTTCTCCATTTTTGACAAAGCATGTGCACACTGACTATCTGCTAAGCTGTCGTGGCAAAACTTTTTGACAAATCAAGCGGAAATTGGTATCGTATCTTTAGCAAAGATGGCTGAATTATTCCTGCCGAAAATTAAATTGATCGCAGCGCCGCATATAGGCAAGGCCGCAAACTTTCCGAACAGCCCTTGTATTGTGTGATTATTTTCATATTTTAATGTATTTTGGATTAATTAAAATTAATATTTTATTATAACCACATTATTTATCTTATTACAAATTTCTATACTACATGTGAAAAAAACGATAAGATTGCTATTGTATATTCGAATATCAGTGGCGGAATGGAAGCACTGTATTGTTGAAACCAGGTCAGCTTCCAAGCAGCCAGATTATACACATTCATGCATGTGCTTTACAGAGCACCAACCTCACCTGGTTTAGCTGTTGGAAGCTACACACGTATAACGCTTCCAATGATTCTATCTCAGACCGGTTCTAGGCTGTTAGCTGCCTGCCTGCTAGATATTTGGTTGCCCTTGCCCCATTATATGAATCCCGAGTAGATTTATAACTTAACCCAACTGATAGGAATTTACTAGTATGTTTTTACGATAGTTCTGTATAGTAGACAGGAGTTAAAAAACTCTATTAAAATATTTGATATTTTTATTCTGCTCTCCCATCTTATACTTACAGATACTTACAGATCCCATACTTACAGATTTCAATGTTAAACCAGTGATATTACAATTTCATATATCCCATCTTTAAGGGGAGTAGAAAAAAACGTGTACAATTCTTGTATAATGTTAAAAAATTAACTGTTACTTTGGTAGCATCATTTACAACTAAATTTAATGAATGAGAGAGATTCACAAGGTACAGAAAAGGCTCTAGAATTTATTTTCCTTAAATTTACAATTTATGTATCCGTTTGTCATAAAAATTTGTCTTTCCACTTTTTCCCTGAGACTACAAATATTTGAGTACAAAGTAACTGGTTTCGACTTATTTCTACTTAAGTAGTAGTTAAATAATTAAGTGATTAGGGAATTGGGGACATAAAACCCTGCTTTAAGAGCCAGAATTTTACTTAAAAGCTTAACCGAACCAATCTCTAGCCAAGTACAGTGGGGACTGATTTCTTGCAATTTTAGATGCAATAAAGACAGACATTTTTCCAGTTCAACGAGAGTGACCGAAAAGTTGTAAATTTTGGAAATTTCCATGGACACCTGGTCCTAAAACAAATTAAGTATAAAACAAACGATGGACAATCTATTAAGTTTAATATATTTAGATTTTTACAGCTATGGCAAGAAACATTTAAAATTTACAACAACCCTGTCGTGTCCTTTGAAGTATATTAATGATGCAACAAAAGAGGCATTACATTGACCAGTATCAGCACCCTTGGGATTTGGCAGTCCACGTGCTGTGCAACCTACTCTGATTCCATCCATTAGCCACTTGTAGGGAGCTATTTGACTAAGTGGATTGTTTTAAGATTTAAAAAGAAAATAATATTTTATGTTATTTTTATGTATGTTTCTTTACAAAGTTAACATACAGTACCACTGTAGTATTTTATTCGTTGTAATGTGAACAAATGTCAATTTAAATGAAAATAATAATAAAACTAGAAATATGAAAAGTAATTTTATTCAGTTGTTGAAAAATTTTGAAGTTTAAAGTTTTATTTATAAAAGTGAATTGTAATATGTTCTTTTTTCTATGCATAAATAATTTATAAGCAAGTTGCTTACATTCTTACAACATTTAAGTAAAGAAAAGAAAAACTAACTTTAATTTATTATTAATTTCTTGATTAAAAACATTTTATAAAGATGACAAATTTATTAAATGAAAAAAGCATGTTCATTAATTTCTTCAGAGTAAAATACATTTAGAATATAACATAATTTCATAAATTTTTAAATATGGAAACATAAAATATCAATATATTCAAAATTATCAAAGCAAAAATAATTTTTCAACTCAAAAATAAATCCAGAAGTTATTAGTAGTATAAAATGTTTACAAAACAATGTCAGACAAATTTGTTGGGCAAAAGTATAAGACAATTATGGTTAAATTTTATTATGATTTAGTAAGATAATAATTAAAGCTTTATCATAATCAATGTAAACATTTTTTAATTTATTTTATTTTCATTTGAAAGAAAACAAAATGCTTAGCTATTTGCCAAATTCTTCAAAAAATAAAACCAGTTTTATCCTACACTAATCAATAGTATGAAAATGAGATTTAGACAACTGTAAATAAACTTAATAAAAATATTAAGAAAAAAAAAACAATGAAATAAACTTATCTTTCCAAATTTCAACTGCAACTACTTAGTGAATAAAAGAATATTTAAGTACCTAACGAGATTCTTGAACTAGAATATAAAATAGAACTAGCAATGAGAGCACCAATTCCATAATCTAGATGAAAATGTTTAGATAAATGAATTAGGTAAATGTTTAATGTAAATGAATGCTTTTATGCTAATTTGAATGAGATAACCTCTTCTTTCAAATAAAAATTAACAATTCATATTTTAAAATCTTTAATAGTATAGACAAAATAAGTTTTGTATATATATTTTGAAAGAATGCTTAAATTATTATATTTTATCATATTATTAAGTGAGCACTAAGTTAAAAATTTAATTTGGTATAATATTAAACTTACTTTCCATAGTTCTGTTTTCGAAAATATGGCCAAGCCGCTTTTGTAATAAGAAATGCTCCTCTTAAGTGTACACGATGAACCATGTCTATAATTTACAAAAAATTTTACACACAAATATTTTATTATTATTAATTTGTTCAGAAAATAAAATTTCATTTTTATATTTCATTAACAATTAAAAAACTATTAATTCATTAATTAACATTAATTTTAGTTTTTTTAATTGAAAAATTTCCAAAAAATAAGTAAGTATATCCAAAAATAGATTTTCAAAAGTTAATTTTATCATATGAACTTAAGCATTTCATAATTATTTCAAGAAATTTATATATATAAAATTTTATTTTAATTATCTGCAGGAACAATATAGCATTTACTAATGATAAAGTACTATAGTAAATATCATTGAAATATTTGAAACTAACTGTGAGAGATGATGTTGAAACTCCTTCAAATATTTAAGAATAAACAATGTTGCAAATATTAAAATTCTATTAAACAATAAAAAATTTGATTAAATTTTTCAAGTACATTTTGTAAACATTCTATGATAATATAATTAATTTGTTATATTTGAAATTCTAGATTTTTTGGACATTTTTGAAAAACAACTTGTAATTTTACTCACCCCATTCTTCAATTGTCATATTTAAAAAAGATTTGTCTCTTAAGATTCCAGCATTATTTATAAGAATATCTAAAAGCAAATTTAATAAATGCTTTATTATATACATAGTAAAAATGTATTTTTTCTTAATCATCAATAAGATGATTAAAAAATTGAAACAGACATTTTGTGAGACATTCAAATAGAATTAACATTAATAATTAAGTAGTTTTATTTTCTTACCTATTCTCCCAAAATTTTTTATTGCAGTAGCAACAATTTTGTCACCCTCTTCTACAGAATCTAAAATGCAAAATCCAATTAAATATAATTCAGAAGTTAAATATAATAATTAAATAAATATAAATATATACTGTAGTCTGGAATAGCTTTTCCTCCCTTCTTGCGAATTTCTTGGACTACTTTATCAGCAGCCAAACTACCTTTGCCTTGTCCTGCCCGATCTCCACCCAAATCATTAACTGAAAATAATATAATTAATTAATTTTATATTCTAAAATTTGTTATAGTTTATAATTAAAAAACTCAATATTTTAATGATGTTAGTGTAAAAAACAATGTATGTAATAATAATAATATTTTTAAAATCTATAATTATTCCTTTATTGGGTGTTTGTTAAAATCTTTTTAAACAGATGAACTAATTCCTCAAACAAAGGAAAAATTTATTTCAATAGACTCTCATCATAAGGAAAAACTATCAGAACTCAGATTAAAAGTTTCATTACAAAATCAAACATTTCAACACCAAAAAAATAATATATTAAATTATAAAAATTTATATTTTTTTGTAATTTCCAACATTTTCAAATAAAAAAAACATATTATTCAGAATATCATTGATATTTACTGTTGCATATGAAAGAAAAAAATGTTTAGTATTTTTTAATTTTATATGCATTTATATTATATATATTGAGAGTGACATTTTAACATTTTATATGTAATTTACCTACAACAGATGCACCTCTTTCAGCCAATTCCAAAGCATAATGCCTTCCAAGACCTAAAATACAATTAGATAAGAATTTAATACTAATTATATGAATTTATTTTATCCTAAATAAACTCATTTCTTAAATAAAATAATTCAAATAATTAATATAAATAATTAATTCATCAAATTTTATTTATATAATAATATGGATAATTTTATTTCAAATATTTTTCTTCTGATGTAGTAAAATTTAGTCATGTATTTGGTTTTCATTGATTAATTTATTAATTGGTTCAATTTTTAACAGATATTCAACATGCCCTTAGACAATTTATATATTATATAGCACTGATTTTCAATTGGAATACTGTGACATGCTACGATACAACAACAACTCTTCAGGAGTGCCATAACACTTCTTACATATATTACTAAAAGTATGAAAGTGCAATAATATTGATAAAGATGTAGGGATGTTGTAAGAAAAAATAAAGATGTTATATAGATTCTACAGCATAAACTTTGAAGATTGAAATAAAAAATTTCTAAAGTTTAATATTAGCAAATAAAGTGTTAAATATTGGTTCAATAAAATTTCTTTTACAAAAACATACAATGAAATATAATTTAATGATAATCTATGTTCTAACAATTAATTGATAATTAAATCCAAGATTATAGAAAATTTTATTTTATCTTATGTATTGAATATTGCTATCTATGTATAAAACAATGCAATTATCTTCAATTGACATTTAAATATTAATTCAAATATTTTATGATACTATGAAAGATAGAAATTGAGATAAAAATAATGCTGTCAATATAATATTTCATAGCATTAATTCTGGATGTATTTTATTATTCAATTTTAGAATTTAGTTTCATAAAATAATGTTTTGAAAAATTAAATGGAGATGATAATCTATATTTTTATGTCAAAACAGCATTATGTAATAAATTTTACAACTAAAATTACAGTTCTTTTGTAATTTTAGCTGTAAAATTTGGTGTGTAATGCCATTTTTGTGTATTTACAGAAGCTTCACAGTTATGCAATTTTAGCTATATTTTTATATTAAGTTGATAAGTTGATTCAAAAATAAAACTGTATTAATAAATTCTATTACACAAATAAATAACATGCTCAACACAAATCAATGGACTCACTTTATGTTAGAAGCATTAAAATTATAATTTTTGACTGAATGTAAAATACTACATGCCTAATTATACATTAATTGAAATTTAACATTAACTTGTTTGTTAAATTATTGTATACAGTCAAACTTCCTTGTAATAAATTACCTCTGGAAGACATGGAGAATTCATTAAATGGAAAAATGCATTGTTAATAAAAAGAAAACTTGACATTTCGTTTTATTCTCCAATGAAATATCCTATAATAGAATAAAATGTTAAATATGCATATGGTTGGTTGATTATTAATATATATCAGGTTATTGAGATGTTTATATATTGATAGAAGTTTTTATTGAAATTGAGATAAAATATGTGTATCATAATTGAAATAATTAGTAGTTGTATGTTTATGTTGAAAAATACTCAATAATGTTCTTCTCTACTTTTTAACAAAATTATTTTACCAAGTATTCTGTACAGTACAATCCTGTAGCAGAACTACATTGGCACAAAATGGTTTGGCTAAATGAGGATCTGAAGCCAACAAGAATCAGAATGTATCAAGCAAAAAGCCTTTGATTCTTGACTAAACCTTGACTAAAACAATGTTTTGATTATGGATCAGATGATTTTCTTCAGTAAACAGCTAAAGGCATTTTTTGTGGAATGTAAGTCTCTTCCTTTATGCAGGGTATGGAACTGGGAAGGAAAGATAAAAAACATAAAAAAGCCCATCACTTATTACTGAGGAGGAGTTGCAAGAACTGAAAATGAATATTGCTAACATCCATATAAGAAATATTTTGAAGTTAATAAAAGAATGTTCTAAGTATATTAAACAATCTGAAGCCCTATATATGTATATATAATGTATAATATATTAAAAAAATTTTATATATATATATTTTATCAATGGGACAGCCGAGTAATGGGGCCCCAACATATCCAGTATGTACCACTACAAAAAATTCCTGAGATTTTCCAACCCAACCAAATTTGATCCGAAGCCCTCCTATTGCAGTAGACCAATGCCTTACCATTAGTGTTACCACCCGTCTGGTTTTCACCCGGACAGTCCAGGAATCCACTCACTGTCCAGGTGAATTATTAATTTTGTCTGGGAATACTGTGCGCAACCTGTTGACATTTTTTTTTTTTTTTTTTTTGCTTGTAGGATTCGTATTCATACAAATCTCCAGTAGTATGCTTGTAGTTGTTCTTTCTTAATTTAGGTTACTTACATTACTCCTACCCAAGTTTCCCTAGTCCCTAACTGTAAATGATTTAGAACCGGCATGCACTACACGTTATTCTTTGCATTGCAAAATGACATTGTGCATGCATCAGGAACTTCTGTTCAAACAAACCTCACCTACCATCCAGGTCAGTGATTTTGAAAAGGTGGCAACACTACTTACCACTTTGGCCATCTGGCTGCTAAATTTTAAATATTTTTAAACTAATATTAAATTGAGCAATAGAAACAAAATAATTTTTACTGAAATAAATGATTCTTCACAATATGATATTTTTTTTTATAAAAATAAAATTTCTCAGCTTTGTAATTTCACTTACATCACATGAAATAAAGTTTAAGAGTGCAAAGCAAATTTATTTAAATACAGTAGAGCATCGATTATCCAAATCAATTGGGGACTGGGGTTGTTCGGAAGATCGATGTTTCGGATAACCGATTATGTACGAAAAAATATATTAATTTATCCCATCTTGACATTTTTCTCCGTTGCGTGTCGCTTTGCATTGAATTTTTGTCAATGTTAAGCCTAACGAAGACTATTGTATCGTTAAAAATTATTTTTTTATTTTGTACGAACAAAATAAATATATTGAGAAATATAAAAACAATAAAAATTATACTTCAGAAGTTAATTTAGTATCAAAAACATAAAATATTTGAGTAGCCCAAGACATTATTTAGCCTTTTCAATCATAAGTACTTATCTTAGTAAGCTTTATTTTCTGTTGTGTGTATTTTCTCAAAATTGTCCTGGTTTGAGAAAAAAATATTGTGGTAAGTCTATATAAATATAAATGAGGATATTTGTTTGTTGTTTGCTACACATGCCTAGGCTGTTTGACCAACTGCTACGAAACTCGGCAGTTACATTGAAGTACTGCCGAGTTTTGTAACTTAGATAATGTCATACATCCCACCCCAAATTATTGATCAGATTTCTATAAATCTATTAATTTCTGTTTACATTCGATTGCTGGCTTTACATGTAGCACCATCAATTGGAAAAAATTTAACAAAATAATTAACTAAATATAATTCTTACAAAAAATTTATAATTTTAAAAAATATATATTATATTCACTGAATTACTGCAACAATGATATAGCACAAAACAGATGCACCATTATGCCTTTACTGCAACAGGTAGCACATAGCATTTGCCTGCATGGATAGTAGTAGTGTTTTGCCCCTGTACTGATGTACAGGGGCAAAACACTACTACTACATCCCTGTACTCTTCTTATTAGTAATAGAGTCATGCCGGTTATACATGTAACTCCATTCGGGAAAATTTTTGAATCGAAATAACACGACTTGCAGTATAAAATGGAAGTTCGTATATAGTTAATCTGATGCTCTTTCTCTTACAATTTCCATGTTTGGTCTCAAATTTCATCTATCTAACTTTGTTCTCAGGATTAAAAAAGGACAGCGATGGATGGACGACAGTGAAAATTTCAAGGTCTACAATTTTTTGAAACTGCAGCCCAATAAGTACCCTCCAGTAACAGTGGATAAAACCACTGAACACTAGTAGTCGATTGTGAGTTTGCATATGGCCAGTCAGTTGGCCATGTGCAAATCCACAACCAACTACTAGTGTTCAGTGGTTTTATCCACTGTTAGATGACTGATATGACTATTGCTAACAGGAAAAGCATTATGTACAGATGAAAGACCATTACTAAAAGAATTGAAAATATTGTGACAAAAAGTTGCAGGCTTGGCAATGTGAGAATGTCCTCTAACTCCAGGGGAAAAAGTTTGAATTGAAGTAACATTACTTCTGTTCCAAACTGGAAATTCATATATAGTTAATCTGGACCTCCTACCCATATGCTTTCCATGTCTATCTTTTTATCTATCTAACTTTTTTCTTGAGTTTAAGGAAGGATAGACAGATAGGGGATGACAGTCAGAATTTATGTCTACAATTTTTTCAAATTGCAGCCCAATAATTTTTCTATAGATGCAATATTTATGAGAACATACTTCCCATGTAGTTTATACAATCTGTTTCCAAAATTTAAACACTTTATTATCACATAAAAGAAACTATTTAGCATTTTTATGAATTTTTTTTTTATTTAAACAAGTTTTATGTGTTTATTTAAACAAGTCTTTCAGACATTAAGGTTAGCAACTTTGATCACATGTGGAGCCATCACAACCTATCCAAAATGTATCACTTTTCAAATATTTTAATAGTAGACCTGTATTAATTAGTAATCGTTGACCATCCTCTCTTCTGGGAGGAGGTCAACAACTACTTTTGGTCAAATTACTTCAACTCCCTTCCCAAACAGTATCTTCTTTCTATCAGACCAGCGATATGGTGGCATTCATATAGGAAAATTACATAATACAAGGTTACCAGCAAGCACAAAACATGTTTAAAGCATGTTTTGTGCTTGCTCAAAAACCCTCAAAAACATGTTTTTGAGTTTAAGTATTTGGTCTGTTTTTGGAAAATTTGATTCATTGGCAGATTACATTTGATATTTGGCTGTGAATGGTATAGTTTCTTAAAGTTAATATTAGAATATATTATGATATCTGAAAAATTTAAGATATATTCTTATTCCTGTTTACATGACCATTGAATTTGTGCCATTTTGTGCCATCCGAGTATTGCAATAAATGTGACAATGGTAGACTGAAACAATCAAACTTTTCATATGGTTTTTGTTTAAATGTTTGTTATATTGTATCAATAGTATTTAATTTATATAACTACAAAGGTTATCTTAGGTAAGGATTTATCACACCGAGTGACCAATCTAACAATTTTAAAAATTCTTTATTCCTCTACTGAACACAATTTAAAAAATCTTTTAAATGTGTCAGATTGGGCACTTGATATGATAACTCTTACATAAGATAACCTTTGCAAATATAAATCAAATACTATAATATAATATAATATAAGAGTTAGAAATACAAAATAATCTAATAATCTTTGCTGTTGTTATTTTTTGCCTGAGCAACATCAGGCTCATCTGCTAGTTTTAAATATATTCTTATTTACAGGATAAAATCACTTGTATTTAATCACAAAAATCTGTTTTCTTAGAATAAGTATCAATTGACTGAATGTATCAAAAATAAATCATCAAATATCATTTTTATTAATTGCTATTGAGTTACAGCAAATGCAGTAATTATATGCAAAATTTATAATTATACATTTATAAATTTTTCATACATTTGAAGTCATAAATCATCATAAAGTTTTCTTCTTTGATTCAAAAAGTGGTAAACAACTATTTATAAAATGGAAATTATTTATTTATTTAAAAGTATTATTTACATACCAAATTTACTATTGTTATTAAAATAAAATCAGACTGCATTATTTTTATTATCTACTTGTGAAAAATTAAAATACCTGCACATAATCTATTGCATAGTCTATGTATGCTTCAAAAAGTAAATGAAATGCATTTGTAATTTTCAGAAAAATTTACAAAAATTATTATTTCCACTATCTAAATTAACCTTGATGCAATTTAAATAAAAATTAAAAGCTTTTTCATTGTCCAGAATCAATCAAAAAATTATCATTTTGACTTCTCTCTTATTATTTTTAAAGAACACTATCAGCTGTAATTTAATCTCTATAAACAGTTTACATAACATGAAAACAGCTTCAGAGATAGCAAATTATTATTTTTTTAAAAAACAAAACCAAATAGTTAAATCACAACTACTAGATTTATTAATTAAAAAATAGATATTTTATAGAAACAGGAATGTTTGTAAAACTCTAATTATTATTATTTGGCTGTTTAGTATTCTTATTCTTTACACATTCAATATTTATTCATCAGGATAACTAAAGATGTGCATTTAACACGGTCGAAAACGTTTGCTTTCTCATAATTTTTGTGTTGGAAATTGGTTTTGTTTGCCTCGTTTAAATATTAAACGTTCGATATAAATAAATATAAAATATTTAGTATTTATAGAGATTTTATATTGAACATATACGAATACCAAATAGCCAAGTAATAACAAGAGTTCTACAAATGTTTCTACAATCAATTTTTTCCCCTTTCTACAAAATAAACAATTTCTGATAAATAAATCCAAATCATGCTTTAACTATTTTGCTTTCCCCCTCTTCTATCCTTTTGAGGAAATTAAACTTGAAATTACATACTTAATCATTTATCTTTCCCTCCTTTTCTTTAAATATTATCTTAAAGGACATCTGAGAAAGATATTCAGATATGATGTCCTTTAACTATATGCATTATAACTGAAGACATTTTATAGTTTTATAAAATGTCTTTCAGTTATAATGCGTATAATTTATGCATTTTGTGTTTAAAACTATAAAATGCATAAATTTTGAGTTTAAAACTTATTGTAATTTTATGTATGTAATTAATCAAAACAGTGTATTGTACTTTATGTAAGAATTTCAAATGAATTTATCATGGAGATAATTAGATTTGTAAACAACTTTCTGATTTCACTTACCACCTCCAGCTCCAGTTACAACTGCAACTCTTCCAGTAAAATTTAGCAGAGCCATGTCGATATTTTAAGAAAATAAAACGGATAATTCTTTTCGTAAATATATCTGAACGAATAACGATGAAAAATCACCACACTGACACGCAGACAAAATGTTTTACTTCCTCATTCCCCTCAAGCTTTCTGCAATCTTCTCGTTGCTAAGCAACATTTACGATCCCTCTAGCGGACAAAATGTGTATAAATGATTTACTGTTTCATAATTTTTTCTTTCTTTTTTTTCCTCAAAATATTAATTTAAATTATTTTAAATTAATTTCTGACTTAATAATAATGATATATAATGATATTATTATTATTTATCGTTATATCCACGCTAATTTATTTCTCGAAATGATTTTATTTTTAAAGTTTGTAAATAAGATCGTCGATATGCACGTGTCGTTACATCTAAACGTCACTTTTATTTATTTATTTACAGTAATACCCCGAACTTACGCGATAGGTGGGACCGAGCGATAACCGCGTAAGTCGAATTCGCATAAGTCGGGGTATAATTTCGCAATTTGTGTAAAATCCAAGTCGGATGTATGTAAGCTAATAAATGTTCTCGTTAATTTAATCTTATCTCGTCTTTTGATTCGTTCACGGTTACAAGAAATCACCACATAGAGTCTCTCGAGTCTCCGTAGATATAACAAACACAGAAATAAATAACACAAAATAAACTAGCTATGCGTCGATTCCGCGTGACACGTCCGAACATCAGTGGCGTAGCGTGGGTGTCAGCCGCCCGGGGCGAAGGAAAATTTCGCCGCCCTCTTATTTAGGTATCTCAATTTAATTAAAAGACTAAAATTCAGTTTCGTCACAGAATAAGTAACGAAAAATTTCGTGCTAGCGTTGCCACCTTTTTTAAAATCGCCGACCCTGACGGCAGATGAGGTTTGTTCGAACAGAAGTTCCTGACGCATGCGTATATCATTTTGCAATGAAGAATAATTTGCAGTGCATGCTAGTTCTAAATCAGTTACAGTTAGCTACTAGGGAGACTTGAGTAGGAGTGACGTACGTAACCTAGATGACTTAGCCCTATTGGATATTGGAGGTGTATATGATATGAATGAATCGTACAAGCAAAAAATAAAAATAAATAAAATAAAAAAAAAGGTCGACAGGTTGCGCACGATACCTCCGGACGGCGAGTCGGACGGTAACGCTATTCCCACTGTTCCGTGCTCATTTCATTCGGTTCGAATCGTAGGTGGACAGAAATATGAAATAATATGGTTCAAATTCTTACAAAATATTATTATTATTTATTGTCAAATTTTTCCGCCCCTTAAAAAGTGCCGCCCGGGGCGGACCGCCCCTGCTGCCCCCCCCCCTACGCTATGCTACTGCTGAACATGTAAGCTGAATAATAGTGTGGGGGAGTGAGTAATCAAAAGTTGTATGGCGCTCAAACAAAAGAGGAATCGACGAGATTTGAAAATCGCGTAAGTCGGGGTAGCGTAAGTCGAGGTATTACTGTATTTATTTATCTTTAAATTAAGTGTATAAAAATAAAAATTTACAGGAAAATGCAGAATTTTTCCTATTTTTATGTCTGAAACAATTATTACGTATCTATATAATTTATAGCAAAATTATTTTAATCGTAATAAATAAATTTATTATATATATAATTGTTTTTTTACATTTAATTTTAAAATATTTTGAAATTGTTATGAAATTTAATAATTTATCATTATCGGGAGTAAATAAGAGCTCATTTTTACATGTAAAAATCACAAAACTCAAAAAAAATAAAGACGTTTTGAGTTCGTTTCGCTGTTTACTGAATTAAATTGGATATATTTTAAGTTTATTAAAGTAAATTTGCGTGGTTAAAAGGATTAAAATGGGGAAAATGAATAAATATAAATAAATAAATATATTTTAATTTTAATCATTTTAATCCTTTTAACCACGCAAATTTACTTTATTGTATTTATTGTACACCATTGTATGAAAAGGACATATATACAGTATATATACAGATATACAGGACGACTCAAAAATTAGTTAACCGTGTTTCTGAGGAACTAAACAGCAACGCAGATTTATTCCATGCAATTTATGTGTATCGAAGCGTTGAAATTTGTCAATTTGTGTATCGAACAAGAAATAATTCATTTTGAGCGATTTTTTTGGTGAAATTTTTAAGTAATAAAGTAAAGGGTAAGCTTTGCAACGGTTAACTGACTTTCAGGCCACTATATATATTATTATTATTATGATAAATATAATCAGTTCCATATAAGGGAAGTCAATGGAATCTTACACAGAGCAATCTAAATTTACTCTTCCATGAGAAACTTGATACGAAAGTGGTTTAAAATTTTATTCATATATTTTTATGAAGGTTTTCCAATAAAAATATGAAGGCCAATCATTATGTGGGATCTTCTTTCACAGAAGTGGACTCAAGTAGTGACTGGCTTGGACTTCATTTCACTTCTCTCATGTACTATAAAAGTCTTGAGAGTTAAGTGTGTGAAATTAACTATTAATTTATTATTCATATTTAATTCAAATTTTTTCATATTTTCTGATCTTGCAGTAAAAAAAAGAGACGTTTTTATATCTATGTAAAAAATAAAAAATAATTAAAGAAACAAAATGCTTTTACTATATTTTTATATGAACATTTAAAATAGGAGTAATGCTTAATTGTAGATAAATTGATAATAATTGCAATTGATTACTTCAAGTGCAACCAGGCCAAATTTACAAGTAAGCTATGTAAGCTATAATTTAGGGCCTCGAGTTTCAAGGGGCCTCAATAATTTCTACAAAAAAAAAAAAATAAATAAATAAAGTCAAATTTTGTAATAAAAACTTTTTTACAAACCAACAAGATATAATTTACTTTTTATTTTGTGAAGTATTTAATTATATTTTAATAACCAATATTGTTCGGCTGCAATTAAAAAAAATCGTAAACCTAGAAATTTTGTCTGTCCTTCTGTCTTTCCTTAATCTCGAGAACGGAGTTAGATAGAAGAAATCTGAGATAAGATATGGAATTCTTGAGAGCAGGAGGCCCCAATTAACTATATACGAACTTCCGGTTTGCACCAAAAGTTATATTATTTCAATTCAAAGCGTTTTCCCTGAAAGCAGTTAATAGATGAACGGCGCGATTTTATTTTTAAACGAAAAGTATGATGTACAGGGGCAAGTCACTACTGATTTGAGGTGGAGAGCATATATTTTAAATTAAATACATTAGAAATTGCTCTTTCATATTTACATTTCTTCCTTTTAATATAAAATTCATCTGATTTTTATAGGTAGCTTTTCTTAGCTTTTAGTAGCTTATTTTTGCCATCAAAAAATCACGAAAACGAAATTTTCAGTGTTTTTCCTTTTTAAATTGTACCTTATTTTATAACATGTTGCAAATACTTTTTAACAATAAAATATTTATTATTAAAATTAATGCGTTAAAAATATTAATTCTCTTCTTTTTATTATTGACTTTTAAAAATATATTATTGAATTTTTTTTATCAATGTACTACCGTTTAGTTCCAACCCTAGATAATATGGCGCCCTGGAACAAGAGTTAATTTTGGCACCCATATTCAAAGGTACTGCTGAGTCAGCGGTATGTTTGAAAAGGGCTGCATGTACTTGTTTATAGTGCATATTTTCTCAAGAATTATTTCGTAATTTTCGCATTTCCGGCTTGCTTCGTTCAAAAGCTCTTCTTGAACGAATTTTAGGCTACATATTGAGGCAGAGAAGAACCTCAAAAACAGGTGTATGAAAAGGACACCATTTTTCTTGGAATGTTTCCTTTAGTCTTATGAATTTTAATTAAATAATGTGTGTTAAAATTTTAAATTATTCTTCTTATTTTATGTTTTCGTTAAAAAATATTATTAAACTACTTACATCTTTTACACATTTTTACTGTGCTAAATATTAATAGTTTCCTCGTAGTGCATTTACTATCGTCGTCGGTTTTGTCTTTGAGGAAAAAATCACTATTTACAGATAACATATTTAAATTACAAAATACAATATACTTAAAGAAACTATTTTTATCCGTTAAAACTTGTGTTTACTAGAAACTAAAACTTTCTGGCACGAAACAAAAAATATGAAACCGTAGAGTATGATCTACATTTTCATATTTTTTCTGCCAATAAAATATCTATTAATAAAATAAAATTAAATGTTTAATGTTACAAATTCAGTATGGATTATAAATAAATTCAAAAATTAATAACTCTGTAAGAAACTAAGCAAACATGTAGCCTATATTTAATAATTAAGAACTTGAAGACTGTCTGCACTTAAACAAAAGGAATAGACTTTCATAAAACATTATTTTTAATTTAGTAACAATATTAAAAAGTTTTAGTTTAATTCAAAAATAGCCTGATCTTATGACCAATAATACAAACAAGAAAAAAATTTCTAGTTTTTTTCCAGTTAATTAATAATATCTTTTATAGTTATTTTAACATAATACATTATTTCTAAAAACTTAAGATGCCATAATACGCCAATTTTAAGTATTATGTTTACATTTAAATACAAAAACATCTAATAAACGAGACATTTATTTTCCTTAACATTTTGAACAAATTTTGAAAATAACTGTAAAAATCTGCATATTCATCTATCAATATGACTATTTTTATTTAATTTATCTGAACACAAGATTAAAAATAAGAAAATAAGAAATAAATAAATAAGTTTATTCTCAATTTCCTTGAGAAAAAGGACATATATACAGTATATATACAGATATACAGGACGACTCAAAAATTAGTTAACCGTGTTTCTGAGGAACTAAACAGCAACGCAGATTTATTCCATGCAATTTATGTGTATCGAAGCGTTGAAATTTGTCAATTTGTGTATCGAACAAGAAATAATTCATTTTGAGCGATTTTTTTGGTGAAATTTTTAAGTAATAAAGTAAAGGGTAAGCTTTGCAACGGTTAACTGACTTTCAGGCCACTATATATATTATTATTATTATGATAAATATAATCAGTTCCATATAAGGGAAGTCAATGGAATCTTACACAGAGCAATCTAAATTTACTCTTCCATGAGAAACTTGATACGAAAGTGGTTTAAAATTTTATTCATATATTTTTATGAAGGTTTTCCAATAAAAATATGAAGGCCAATCATTATGTGGGATCT